CTTGGCCAGAGCTCCGGTCCTCTGGAGCTGATATGTAGCGGTTTGTGTTGTAAATGCCACAAGTTGGAGAGGGTGGAGAGCTACATCAGCAATGAAAGCTAGGGACAGAGATGCCACAGCCAAAGCCTGGGCTGCAGCAATGATGATGAGCAGGGCCGCTCTGGGTTATCTTTGACGGAATCCATTTCCACTGCGGAGCTATCACGAGGAAAGGAGAACAATATGGCCAAGAACCTGGAGGGAGAAGATAGGATTACCCCCAGGAGGCCACGCACCTCCCTTAGAGTACGTAATAGCTGATTGAAGGTCCCTCCCTCTGACCCTGCCCCTCCTCCTTCTTCTCTCGCCTTCTTCTCCTTTAACTCCCCCTCCCTTCCGCGCCTCCTCTCCCCTTTCTACACCGCTTCTCTATTTACCATGAAAGCTTTTCTGGGGTTAGATTAGAATTTCCATTCTCACATTCAACTTACTGCAACTAACTATGGCCGACGTAAAGCAGTTTGGGCGAAGAAACTGAGTTTTAAAAATAAACAATCAACAGTTGAACTTTCGAAGAATAAAAGTAAAAAACAACAAAAATCACTTCTAAATTGTCCTATGGCACAATCGCTGTCTTTCCAGCGGGATCCTTTGATCTTGTAGGACTTTAAGGTATTGATACTGTGCACTTGAATACACTCATAAACATGCTACCAGGAAGTTAACACATACACACACCGAGCCGTTCGCCATACACACGCCTCTGGGACAACTGCAGGATATCCATGTTGAAATCCATGTTCGAGGCTTCGTGCTCAGGTGCCTAACTCGGCTGCAAAAGCGTCCCTAACGCATCTGCACGTAAGGACACGTGTGTGTGTGTGTGTGTGTCCGCGGTGTGTAGCAGCTTCCAGTAATCGCATCTACGGCAGCCTTAGTCACTGGAAAGGAGAGACAAACAGCCGATCGGCCGTGATTCAGTGCTATTAGTGGACTCATTATCTGACCATGAGTCATTCCGAGGCTACCGACTTTCCCGCAGTGGGGCAGAACTTTGTGCTGAGGAGACAATAGTAGATAGTGTGTGCGTTTCGCATAGGGCAGACCATTTCTCACGCTGGGGGAAGACTCCCGCCCCCGCGCTGCGAGGGGGGCAGCGCAGCCCCCCGGGCCGACGCAGCCCCTCAAGCCAGGCGGGGGGCCGGGGTCCCCGC